AAGAAAGAAAGAAAGAAAGAAAGAAAGAAAGAAAGAAAGAAAGAAAGAAAGAAAGAAAGAAAGAAAGAAAGAAAGAAAGAAAGAAAGAAAGAAAGAAAAGAAAAGCAAAGCCCCAGTTTAATGGGTAAAGCATTCCTGGGTGATTCTTCAGTCCCCCAGGGAGGAGACCTGGAAGAGAGACCAGAAAACCATGTGTTTGTTTTCTGGGATGCAGTTTAAATACCCCGTGGGAGTGGTCTTGAGTATCTCTAGAGGAGGAGCCCAGTTTAGTGGGCTTTGAAGGGGAGGGTGTGGGAAAAGAGATGGAGAGGGAAGTTGAGGTGGATCTTCCACCAGAGCAGTTTGAACTACATATCCCTTACCATTAATTGCATAAGCTGTTTTCCCATTGGGAGAACCGTCAGTAAAAACCAAAGCAACATTTTTTCACAGGAGTTTCATCACCACTTTAGGAAAAATAGAAGAATGCATCTGAGCAAACTGTAATAATTGATCAGCAGGATAATGATTATCAATTTGACCCCCAAAATTAAGCAAAAGCAATTGCTCAAGAATCATTATTTTGAAATAGCCAATCAATTTGTTGTTTAGTAAATGGAACATTTATTACATTTTGTTCCTTTCCAAAATTCCTTCTAGAATCAAGCCTATTCCATTTTCCTGTGGCTGGTGCTTCTCATGGCCACCACCTGGTAAAACTGTTAAGGTCCACGACCCTCAGCTGTTTCCCATGATCCCTTCATGCCTTAAAAGCCATTATCATCCGGGAGCCTCTTAAATTGCAAAGTTTACCTGCCAGAGCAAGGTGCATTCTTGTGTATAAAAGTATTGCGGTGCGGTTTTAATATTTTATTAAATAAACATTGTTTTTCAATCCTATCTTTTATAAACCTTATTTTTGTGACATGAATTATTATATAGAAATCTATCCCAATACAAAATACTTGAGGCTTGTTGCCTCCTTAGCCTAAAAGGAGATACAATGAATAGAGAGTTCATTAGGACTAAGAGAGGTATTCTATAACCTCAGTTAAAGATTATTGACAGCCATGTGACTGCCCACGTCACAATGAGGTCACCAGCCAAGATGGAGGAAGACTGTGTGGCTGTTGTTTAAGATAAAACAATAGTTACAAGCACACATACACACTGTTGGATCCAACTTTCATTCATACCGTACGGAATTAAAGCTAGCTTATATTCACATATATAGAGTTAAACCTAAGTCACATGAGTGTTCATATACACATACATGTACATATTTCCATTTTTAACATAAACATTTTGCAATGGAGAATCAGCTATTTTTAAAATGAAGAAAACCAACCAGAATTAACATAACGTGGTTAAATCCCAAATGTATCTTACAGTTTCCCTTCAAATTCAGCATAGTTCACATACTTAGTTCTCTCTGGCCGTCTATAACTTCCATGTACCTCCAGATCAGGCCTTTCTCTATGTTTGCTCTTCTGGATCAGCCAGACATAGACAAATTCATTTTTTTCCTTTCATCTCACTATTCCAGTCTTTCACCTTCTCTTGCTTTTTAGACAACATGCAAATTTCCATCAAAGTCCGTTTTCTTGTGGTTTCTTCCCAGCAGTTTAGAACATCAAATAGGTATAACATTTCAAACAAGAATAGAAACATATAGATATATATGCATATGTCATAACAAAAAACTTATAATTGCATTAATATGTAAAAACCTGTATCAATGTGAGACATTTGAGATTAGCAGCAGGTTTTCTTATCTTAACCAATAATAATTTGTAATCAGTTCTCTTAAATGATGACAAGTATTTGTAATCCATTGAACTCAAATGACCACACTCCATGTATTTTTCTTTTCCTGTGGAGGCAAAAGCGTAATTTTTTTTTCCCAAACATAATATACTTTTGACTTTTATTCTAAAGTAAAATCTTTTCAAAGTATGCAGGCTGGTCATTCAACATCCTTTCTCAATAAGTATCAGGACAAAGAAGGGTTAAAGTGGGCAGCTGCTGGCTAGCAGAAGAGACCTTGATCTTATCACAGTGAAGAAGAACTTGTCCTAGGAAGGGCGGGAGGGAGGGGAACAGTGGGCACAGAGTGTGTCCTTGGCCTCCAGTGTTCCTGAAAAAGAATTTTGTTAACTCCCCTGACTATAATAATTAACAATTAACCCCAGATTCTCTGTTCAGCTTTCACACAGCTTGTCAGTTGTAGACAGTAAATTCCCTGCCACTTCGCCCGTAGCTCCTGTCCCTGTCTGCCTGTACGGAGAACATGTGCCCTCACCCTCTGAAAGCTGCTGGCTGGCCCCAGGCTTCTCCTGCTGGCCAAGACCAGCTCCACCTGTGCTGCGGGCCGGGTAGCAAGACAGAGGGAGGCAGCCCTTGCTCTCCTTCTCTTCCAGGAAAATGAGGGAGGTGAGTAGACAGACACAAACAACCCTTAAACAGACAACAAAATACCAGTATTTCAGCACTGAGACGATGGCCTCACTTGTGGTATTCTGTCTAACAGATGGCTTCTCTTGCGATACCCAAGCCACACCTGGCAGAAGCCACCTGCTTATCTCAGTTCAGTCAGGGGGACCCAGTCCCCTTAAACACATGAAACAAAACGGTAACATAGTAACAGAACACAGACCAAGACAAAGAGCCCTCACAAGTACATTTACTGTCCTATGGTGAACAGATCTGAACACATATCCATGTGCTTGAAGTGCTATTCACAATAATCAAGTTATAGAGTCAGTCTATGATGCATTTTTAATTTGTATTCCAATGAATATTAAAGAGAAAGATCACCATAAATCTGAATACTCACTGAGATTTATTATGTATAT